GATATAGTATTTTAAACTCAGTGATATTCGCAAACATTTTGATGAAACTTGATAGTGTTAATTATATTTGGCAACTCTGCTTTATTTTGGAGCATGAAGTTTGAAGTGTATCTTTTTAGTTATATACAAAAGCTGTTGATTGACGTCTACGTGATTCGCCAAAAAAAAAAACTATACATAATTTATGCAGTGCATTTTGTAGCATACACTGAACAAACATAATGCTCCAATTACTTACATAGGTCTGCTGATAAACTTGGAAGCAACGTGCAATCTGATTAAAATCATGAGCTACCAAATCAATAAGTAGACTTAACGTGCACAGATACGAAGCCATATTCTAATGAAATTTTGATTCACCAATCAAATTACATTTTTCATACTGCTGAAAGTTAATAACGTCAGGTATAACCTACCATGGCTAACCATTAGCCTCCTTCACTTGAAACGTAAAGCTTTATCTGATAGGCTACTAAAAACAAGTGAACATCGAATTCCAAAAGTCACCAAAACATTAACTTTTAATGATCCTAGTGTTATATATATATATATATATATATATATATATATATATATATATATATATATATTTATATATATATATATATATATATATATATATATATATATATATATATATATATATATATATATATATATATTAATAAGTTTGCCTATTAATAATTAGATCTTGATTTAATCAGATTGAAGCGATGATATATTAAATGAGTTGAATATTTATCGTCATTTATAGGGACAACATAACAATTATTTTTCTTACATTGATATTTAACGAACGTCGTTTGTCTAGATGTGTCATCACAAAATGACGAAATTTATCCAAATTTTAGAAACTACATTAACGGATAATCTAGTCTACATCGTGGACCTATCTCAGTTATCCAATAAGTATTGACAGTTTATGAAATAATACAAGTTGATTACCGGTATACCATTTTAACCAACTTGGTTCTGAATATCTTCTAAAATACAGGTCCGAAAGTTTTTATTCCATAACTAGATGAAACGTCTTTGTTTAATTAGCCTCATTACTTTATTATGATTTAGCTACTATCTTGTGGCCAATGGATTTCAAGGTCGCGACTTTTAGGAATAAATAAACAAAATAATAACAAAATAATACCTTAAGCAGTTTTTATTTCTTGTTTATATGACTGATTCTATTATATATATATATATATATATATATATATATATATATATATATATATATATATATATATATATATATATATATATATATATATATAATTGTATGTCTTGTTCAATTTAAACACAAACAAATTACTACCTTTGCCTAAGAGATAAAATTTATAACAATTACTTTTGTTGCCTCAGTGAAAAGATGGATAATGGTTTACCACGTGTCCAGGTCATGTATTATTTTTGTGCTAATATTTCATTGATCCGAAAACAACCCGGTGCAATGTTACTGCAAAATCTCAATCAATAATGGTGCTGGATATGATTTGCCTGTTAAGTCAATTTGTCCGTCTTGAAAATGAACAGCAGTCACTGAGATTTGTGATAATAAAATGAAAGGGGATATCAATCTTTGGTTATCTCATATCAATATTATCTATAAGCTGATGGATTTTTAATACAAGTAGTTCAGACATTGGGAGATATAGACCACTCACTGCTGTGTTTCAAAATCTTGCTTATGGATACAAACTGCTAAGAATATTAAAAAAATAATTAAAAAAAATATCAGACCACTGCTACCTTTTTATCAACATTAAAACTCAACTTAAACATTTCCAAGCTTGTAAGACTATAAAACAATTAGCAATTACTAATATGAAATATGTACACATTATACATAAAGGACTAAAGATACATTACAAATATGTGATGAAGACATTTCACGAATTTGTTATGAAAGCAACAATGCCGGCAATTAGTGAGGGTATGCATTTCATTAAATTACGTATCTGATGTAAATATATTACACATTTATATACCCGCGTAATGTGCAGTCTAATTTGAAGATAGTATGAAACGACACAAGGAGAGAGAGAGAGAGAGAGAGAGAGAGAGAGAGAGAGAGAGAGAGAGAGAGAGAGAGAGAGAGAGAGAGAGAGAGAGAGAGAGAGAGACCATATGAAGCGGAATGTCTAACAACACTAAATATTAGAAAGGGTAAGTGCCCAGCTGTTAGTAAGACGTGTTTACTCTTATCCTGCAATTTCAGTTGCTTACATAAATATCAATCAGATATGAGGAGAAACTGAACGGGGCAAAAAGAAAAGAAAACAAGCAACGTTAAAATGCACATATCCACACAAGAGGTGAAAAATCGATATAAAACTATACCTATCGCACGCAACTTATTTCAGTCTTTAGCTGTCGTCAAAGATAATTAGTCGTTTGTCTTCTTTACGTTCATTCGAGACAGTTGTTGCATGCACAAACACTCGTTTTTGTTGATAAAAACAAAAAAGAGGAAAAAGGCTTATTAATACTAATTCGCCTATATATATATATATATATATATATATATATATATATATATATATATATATATATATATATATATATATATATATATATATATATATATATATATATATATATATATATAAAACCCCTCCCAATGTCATGCTAATTATTTTATTTTATTCTAAAAGCTTCTTTAACATAATGAGACATTTCAAAAGTGTTCCCCTGGAAAATCAAATGCTTTACTCATAATTTATTAAGCATTTTTAATCGAAGTTTGTTTGGTCGAGTTTGAAAGGTATACTCTGGTGACACGTCGTGAAATATGTTACAACTGAATTATCATTGGTAGTTATTATTTGTTCCGGTCCAGGGTAAACAATATCAGCGAATCTTCATTTATGAAAGCTTATTCGATGCGTGACAATCAGAAAGTCTTGACAAAGCTATGGAGAAACTTGTAGCAAAAGTTGATCATTAATTAATCAAGAAAGTACGAAAACAGAGATGCTGCCAGGGCGCGCGAATCACAAAATTGATACGAATTCGCATGCTTTTAGCAGTGATACACGAGACTTCTCACAAATTAATTGAAGGTCGAGCACATGAAAATATAATTTTTGTTAAATCGTTCACTCTTAAAATGCCTTTTACGACATTAGTCGTGCCAGTAAATGTAGCGCTTGTTGCAAGATCTGTTTTTCGGGTAGGCAACTAATTTTGCATCTGGGCTCTTCTCGACATGAATGGTTGCTACACTAAATTTGACTGCCACATCGTGTCCGGGAAAAAGCGTTTTGTCATGGTTTGAACCTTTCATCAATGAAGTTTTATAAATGCGCATTTGAATACGGGCTAACTAAAAAGACTCAAATTGGTTGACTCCCAGTGTGGTTCATATTCAGATGGCAATTTCGTTTGGAAAATACTTGCTGATGATAGCTATAACGTTAATAATGTTTAAAGTTATGACGTATCATATTATTGGAAGTGGGACAGTACTAATGGAGATAACATTGATATATTTTGAACCCGAAAATGGAGTTTATTACCAGTTGTTCGATGTACATGCTGGTTAATCATCCATTCAGTAAATGTTCAAAAGGCAGAAAACCAATTAAAATTAAAATACCGACAATTTAAGAGTAGAATTCAATTTTCATTTCTTTTCTCAAACAAGACCAGCCTGTGGGATTATATGCTACAAAATCATATATTCCTATCGTGATTAAAATAAACTGAATAAATAAGAATGAAAAAATATTAAATTATGAAGGAAAGATATTTATTTGATCAAAATACCTCTTACCTGTGGCAAAAAGGAATCCTGCATCTGTTATAATGGAGCAACCTTATATGGTCTAAAATGTTGATTTGAATAAAATCACTGGCAACTAATAGGTAGTCTGTTTGAAAGTAATTTCTTTGCAATGATGATAATGATATATAAATAAATGCTAAGCATATGTCTGTCTGTAACCTACATGCAGGAAATTGAGCGAGTAATCCACATAAAAGGAAAATACCTACCACTTACAGACCTAAAGATGGAAAGACCGTCAATTATATATATATATATATATATATATATATATATATATATATATATATATATATATATATATATATATATATATATATATATATATATATATATATATAATATATGTGTGTGTATGTGTGTGTGTGTTCTATTAAGATAGACTAAATCAGAAGAATTTTCTCTTGAACCCAAAAGTAAGACGTTTTATTTTGACTACTCTCAAAACCACTTGTTTTTATTTCATCTTTATAACAGGTTTGCTATTCAGAGTGAATATACGCCTGAATAGTTTTTTTTAGAAGATTTATTGTTTAAACATTTACAAAAATTATATTAAAAGTACTGAATAATTATTTCGAAAATTAACGTCGATGAATCCTGATATTAGTTGAAATTTTGCTGTAATGTACAAATAGTGGCATGATACACTATATTTGCCCTTATGTACATTACATTATCAAAAAAGGAATTCCATATAATGTTCGTTTCAAGTATTTTTCTGCTACTTATTTTTCACTCTCTCTCTCTCTCTCTCTCTCTCTCTCTCTCTCTCTCTCTCTCTCTCTCTCTCTCTCTCTCTCTCTCTCTCTCTCTCTCTCTCTCTCTCTATCACACACCTCTCTCGCTCCACATCATGATGAATATATCTTAAAATGTGTCAACTGTAGAATGACTGTTGTACGTTCATGCCGCCAATAAGTTGGCGTCAAGATATGCATAAAACCAGCTCCAAACAGCAAAGAGTAGGCTTTAATGTGATGTGATTATGATTTTTAACGTAGCTTTAACAATTTTTCAGTCATATCACTACGATGTATGCATGTGGCAGTTTATAGTGATGTCTAGCACTGGAACATCATGCTGCAGACATGTAGCATGATGTCCCACTCAGTCACATTTTCCTGACACCAGGCCCACCAGTCCTAACACTAACCTCTTAATGCTGAGCGTCTAGCGAGGCAGCTGTTAGTACTATTTTTGTAAGTCTTTAGAATGACTCGACCGGGGATCGAACCCACGACCTCCTACATCTGAGGGGGACGCTCTAACCACTAGGCCAGCGGTTTAGACTTTAATTATTAACTTTATATCACGGTATAAAGATTACAAATCGTAATACAATTTTTGTAACAATTTTAACTTGAATGAAATTCCTGTTTGTAAATGATGGACACATCTGGCGTTCATTATTGTTGAGTGCAAACTTAAGTGATGAATATTGGATGCTGCATCTGCGACCGAACTGGTCTGCAAGCTTTCCAAGGCCACATAATTTTCCCTTTGAATGTTGAAATAAACCAAAAAAACCTATAATTCTTGCAAGTAAACTCGCAATCAATAAACTCTTGCGTTTAGAAAATTTACGTTAGGAAGTCCAGCAGAAGGAAACAATCTGTGATGTTTCTGCTTTACATCACCCCAACATTTTTAATGTGCGTATGAAATGTGTTGTCATATAAATTTTTTTTCTTCATTGTACAAATTCAGACATTCATTTGACAAAAACAAAATACATAGTTTGATGCATGGTATGTACTAGCTGAATTTGTTAAACGTCCTTGCTCTAAAATTATTGTAAAATTTTGGAACTTAGCAATGTAATGCTAATTCAGCTACTAACAGCATTGGTGTAGAATTAAAGTAATCGACGATATTTGTAATCAAAATACAGAATTAAAATATCTGCGTTATGTAAATATATATAAAGTAATATTTCACCACCGAAGAAAAAACATCGTCTCTAAACAATTGTTTCTACTTCACATGTGAGGTATTTCCGTATATACTCTCTCTCTCTCTCTTTCTCTCATATATATATATATATATATATATATATATATATATATATATATATATATATATATATATATATATATATATATATAACATACATACAGGATACAGGTTGTTGATCATATCTTTTTGATATCTCAGTAATAATTTTCAATGATGATTGATTTACTTCGTTGTTCTGGAAAGTTGTTTTTCTCTGTAAATTCTGTAACTTTTTAAGTCAGCTTGTCAACATTTCGTCTTTTTTAGATTCCGTTTTCATAAAAAGTTCTTCATCAAAAATGCCAGTATTGCCTTTTATCAAAGTTTTTAGTTCATCTCTATGTTCTTCTAATTGTTTGCCTATCTTGGTCACTCTCCTCTGACGTTCTTCTTTTAGTCTTTCACATATTTCCAACGATACTTTTTCCAATAGGGACTCAATGGATTCTTCGTTCTTCTTTTAGTCTTTCACATATTTCCAACGATACTTTTTCCAATAGGGACTCAATGGATTCTTCGTTCTTCTTTTAGTCTTTCACATATTTCCAACGATACTTTTTCCAATAGGGACTCAATGGATTCTTCGTTCTTCTTTTAGTCTTTCACATATTTTCAACGATACTTTTTCCAATAGGGACTCAATAGATTCTTCGTTCTTCTTTTAGTCTTTCGCATATTTCCAACGATACTTTTTCCAATAGGGACTCAATAGATTCTTGAAATTTATTTGATGCTGTGTCATCCCCATTATGAAGCTTTAGTTTCAAGCGTATCCATATGGCACAATATTGTCTTCCAGACAATTTTCAAGAAAGCGTGCATGTAATCCATTTTTCAACTGTTTCTCCGCTAATTTTTCCATTGTTGTTTTGAAATACGTAGTTCTATTGCTAATGCGTGGATCATATTTTGATGCTATGGTGTTGTTCGGGTGTTTTTTTATAAATTATAAAATAAATAACATCAACACGTAGAATATGTGACCGGTTTCGCTTTATTGCTTCATCAGACTGAATTCAAAATGAATAATTTTGAATTCAGTATGATGAATAAATAAAGCGAATTAAATTTAGCATTCTCTAACCGGTGTGGTAATATTATTTATTGGGATTTAAAAAGCCTGTTTTTGTTATCAAGCATTCTCCTGTAGGATCCGGGGATAGGGCTTTACGCTCACAAAACTTAAAGAGCTGAATCTGGCAGACGACACGGAAAACTTTCTCAAGCATTTAAACAATCAATAAAAACTGAACGTGTAAAAAAGAACAAGAGTCTGAAACGTCAATATTATGAACGAAATGTAACACAATTAGAAAGATTGAATACAATTGTATATTCTGTACATTCTCACAATATGATTTACACTTTCATAGGACGTGGAGTAGCTGTTACAATTATTTGGCCAGAAAGTAGACCCATTTTTTTATAGTCATGAACATCGTGCACTCTGACACAAAACATGCGCAGAGCAAGACAGAGTGTAAAAGATGTTGAATTAACAACACAGTAAGCTCCCCCCCCAAAAAAAATAAAAAAAATAAAAAAACGTCTTTATGGTTGAACATGATCCAGGACATGCTTTCACTTTTCATGCAATAAATGGAGCATGTACATATAATGTCTCGTAAAGGAAAATTCTATTTACCAAACAACACTTACATCAACTCTCATAATTTCATATAACATGGTTTTGAAGACGTTGCATTAAAAATTAACAGGACTGCCATCATGCATAGACACTGGAAAATTGCAAAGGTAATTCTGCCATTTTCACTTTGGCAGATCACAATCAACTAACCATTAACACGTGGAAATTTGACACGTCAAAACTGTTATCAATAGAGACTAAAGAACATGACACTTTTAGCGCTGAATGCTTTAACTGCTTGTGCTAATGTAGAAGAAAGAAGAAAGAAGAAAGAAGCTACCAACACAGTATATAAAAGACCATTAAATTCCACTCTTACTGATTCATACAGCTAGATTGTAATATATATATATATATATATATATATATATATATATATATATATATATATATATATACATACATACATACATACATACATACATACATACATACATACATACATACATACATACATACATACATACATACATACATACATACATACATACATACATACATACATACATACATACATACATACATACATACATACATACATACATACATACATACATACATACATACATACATACATACATACTGCAAAACTAATAAATCTAGTTCATTTAATCAGTTCACAATCATCTACCTAACAGCAAATATTTCCCATTAAAGATTATAGCTTTTACCATCGAGTATATCGGTAATTCTGAAACAAATGATAGTTACAGTTCTTTGAAAAAGGTAGCATATAAAATCATACTTTTGAAACATGATAATTACAGTAGTGTTTTTTAAAAGAAAGGGTAGAATATAAAAATCATCGTTTATGGTGAATAAAATGCTAGCAACAACGTGTAACGAAGTAACAAATATATTGATAGAACAGTCCAGCCTAAAACATAAAGTTGATAAAACTAGTTTTAAATTCAATTGATAATAGAAGTGACAAGCTAAATTTCATTGTAGAGAACATCTTTTGATGCTGGATGAACTAAAAAAGCAGTATTTTGTACAATATTAACGACGAGACTGAAAAAAGGACTGCACTTAATTCTGATAGTTTTTACAGCCTCGAAATGTACATGAAAGTCAGAGAGTGAATGTATACTATGAAACACTTGTAATCAGACATAAGTTATGCTGGTATTCTCTGTTATAGTTTTCTTTTCTAATTTGTTGTCATGCATCTCATGAGTCGAATAAATTCATTACCTGATTATTTACCTTTTGATTAAAAATCCACCATTGCAATGTGAGTAAATATGAAATTTCTGGCATTTCTAATTATACTATAGTTGATCATATTTTTTGAAGACTCCTTTAAACACTTTCCCTTTGTCTTTACCAGTTAATAAAGGTATGTCCTTAACCCACAGAACGTTTTAGCTCGAATTCCATTCAGCTCATCTTTGACAAATTCAGGGATTCTTATATATCCTTGTTATAGACAAACACGTGATCCTTGGGACAGACACACATATCATAGAACTTGAGGATATCATTCAAGTGATGGGAGAAGTTTGTTGTATCAACATGAAAACATAAAGATGTTGTATCGGTTATTGACTGTCTCGTTATATCACTGTAGTTTTTCAGCTTGTTGTGATAAGAGTTGTATATTAGCTATTTAAATAAATATAACACTGAAAATCGATTGTAGATTAGATGTACATAATTTAAATGCTGTTTTTCCCTCCGATTATCAATTTATTTAATAATCATAATAGATTGGAGTGGAGTTTTGTTTCTAAATCATTTGCTGCTTTTCTCAAACTTGTATAGATTAAATGAATGATATTCGCAACGTCACTCGTCAAATGAAATAACTCGATTATCGTTTTCAATTTTAAAATCGCAGGTATGTAAAGAGCAATGATATTTGAGTAAATTATGTATTTATCTTTGTTTAGCAATTTACATTACAGTTTTGATACTGTTGGTTTTGTTGCCTTGTACTTATCAATCGTTTGTTTTTTGTGTTTTTTTGCACTGGAGATAAGTCATTTTCATCATTTAGAGAACAGTGCTTGATATAAGGAAGCAAGTGTAAAAAAACCTCCGAATTCCTTTCTAAAATGAAACAAGTATCACAATCATAAGGCCAACTGAGTAAATACTTATTGGACTAATTTGTTCACCAGCCGCTCATTTAGAGTTTATTACTAGTATGAACTGACTCAAGGGCAAGAAGCAAAGAGTTGTGTTTTCGAGCTAAATAATAAATGACCTTGATTTTATCCTTTGACTCACAATCATTGTTTTACTTTAACATCTTTGTCTGAGTTGTGTTCGTGATTTACGTCAGCGTATCTGTATAATATCATGCTAATTCCACCTCCTATTCCACCTCCTATACCACCTCCTATTCCACCTCCTATACCACCTTCAATCATCATAATCATGTCATAATCTGCTACGATTAAAGTTTCTACAAACGATATGTCTTCAACTTGCATCATGTGCTAATCTTGGAGCACTATAAAAGTGAACAGTGTTTAGTTTGTGAATTCGTTCGCATGCCCAAGCTCCTTAAATATGTCACATAGCATCAGTGTATCTTTCTTTACGTAATAGTTACTGAGATCTCCAAGTGTTCGAAAGTTAAATCTTTATCGTATTGATAATGGTAATTTCATGTTTGAATCGGTAAGTG